ATATATATATATATATATATATATATATATATATATATATATATATACTTTATATTTTTGAAGCCTGTGCTGACTTAATAAAAGGAATGTATGCACATATTAAGAAGTTGACGACATATGGAAATGTTCAAAGACAGAAGTAACAAGTCACTCAACATTTTACCACCCAAGAACAAGCCAGCTTTAATCTTTGAAGAATTTCAGACATCTCTCTATGTAATTTAAGGGGATCAAGAAAGACTTTTACAAAAAAGGGGGTTCAGATTGTATAGGTTAATATAAATAAGAGGTATTTCTTTAAAAAGAACAAAAAATAAAAATAAAATTTTCCTTGAATTTAGCAGCAGAAGAAAAAGAATGAAAACCAAAGGGATTGCTGAACACATAGAAATATTGATACCTAAAAGTTTCCTCTAAGTTTAAGAATGTAATATGTATATGCATGAAATATGATTTCAACCCTTTAATGAAAATCATTGAGATTGAAATCAAATTTGAACTGAGTTCACTGCTGACGCAGTCATGAAAGAAAGATGAGTTGATATGTTTTTTTTATCACCTCCTCTATCCTTCTGATTAGGTATGTTGTTTGTATCATTGTCACTTTTCAGGATTTATGTATCTATGTTACAACTCCTGTGTCTCTCACTAGTTTGGTTTTAAATCGATAACTGAGTGGATGTCACACTCATCGCCATTTGTTATTAGAATTTTCCCATTCCATTCTTCACTTTGGTTTATGAATGGGTGACTAGGTTTCTTTACGGAGGTTTTTTTGTTTGTTTGTTTGTTTGTTTTGTTCCCCTGTGTTTGCTTGACTTTGTTTTTCCTCATGTCTCCTGGATGCTGGGATCCTCTAGCTCCCCTGACTGTTCAGAAGGCCTGAATGGGATACTGACTGAATATTCATGAATTCCATGTTCTCTCTTCCAGAACTTTGTAAACATCATTGCTCCATTGTTGTTTTGTGTTTAAAGTTTCTGGGGAAAAAGAATAAGGCCAACATGAGGTGTTTTGTTTTGTTTTGTTTTCTTTTGTGAGTGAATTTATACTGGAATGTCATTAATTACAACACTTCCAGAAATAAAACACTTTTATAATATATACATTTTAAACCTAGTTAATCTCTGAAAATTTCAGCAGTTTATCACTGAAACTTACCCCCAAATTAAAATCTGAATCACTCGTATATAACTGGAAGGAATGTAAGGTGGTATAGTCTTTTTGGTAGTTTCTTTACAAACTGAACATATAACTACCATCTAATCCAGCAATTGAACTCCTGGGCATTTGGCCCAGAAATATAAAAACTTATGTTCATATAAAAACTATACCTGACTACTTAAGCCAGTCAAAAATCTGTGTGCTGGATGATTCCATTTATATGGCATTTTGGAAAAGACAGAATTTAGGAACAGAAAATAAATCAGTGCCTGCCTGGGACTGGGTTGCAGAGAGCACTAGGAATTGAGGAGGGGAAAATGGGATTGGTCATAATGGTGGGTGGCAATATGACTGAATGTGTATGTCAAAATTCATAGAATGTATACCACAAAAGTGAATTTGACTGAGTGTAAGTTAGATCTTAATAAACCTCACTTTAAAAATGTACTTTACATTATTGTTGCCACTATTTCAATATTTTTATTTGAGAAGTACAAGTACCTTAAAGTCCCTGTGAGACCCACAGTTATTTGGGATTCTCAGACCTGCTGTTATCAATTTCCATTTCAGTGCATTCAATTTTATTTTTAACATGCAGGAAAACATAGTTTCTGTCCCAGCTGCACATTTTCCCTACATTAAAGATGACTCATAGAACTTTTTATTTATCATTTTACATTGAGTAATTCTTTTTACTGCTTAGTTGGAAAAAACTACAAGCTTTTACCACATTTAATCACAAAACATTTTCCTGCTCATTGAAACAAAACACCATGTGCTCTCTGTAAATAGTGCTGACCCAGATTCACATCCATCATTGCAAAATTCCACATTTAAAACAAGCA